AAGGGTGAGCCAAGCCTGCTTCTCATATCAGGATTGTCCCAATTATAACTCCTTCCCACTCGAATATAGCCCTAACAACCACAACCCATTCTTTCTTGTCGAAGCAAGGGATTCTGCATGAAGGGTTATCTGCTTTATTTTCTGGTGGCCACAAAACCTGGTTTCGGTCAACGCCGGTGTCTATCTGTAGTCCCAATCACGAGGTATTCTATCTTCTCTCTAAAGAATAAGTCTCTTTTGTCAGCTCCATTGCTAGAGCACTAATCGACGAACTTATGGACCTATCAACTTTCAATCTAGGAAAACTAACAACCTTCTACCAATAAATTCAGTAACCGGGGAAAAGGCAGTTATCTGAAAGTTTCCTTTTGCCAGAGACATTTGAGAGGTATTTGCTGACACATGGCCATGCCCTAGAAAAGATGTTGCCGCAATTGAATCCACCACCATATTTACCAAGCGACAATAACTCCACCCAAACAATTGGATTTCCACTCTAAGAAATACCCTAATGCCACAAAACCTTTCGAGTTCCTGCCCACTGAACACAATATCAACCCAAATTTGGCCTAAACACGTGTAAAACTACCAACTGATGATTCACAACACAGTTCAAATTTTTAAGATACACCAGAATTAATACATCGAAATCAAATATGAACAAGAAATTACTGAAAAGACTTTAGTGAGAAAGCTGAACGAGTCCTAAAGTATTTCTATAACACAAAAGGGTAAAGAACAAACCAACCTTCTCAAGATAAAGATCCCAACTTTACGTCAAGAACCACCAAAGCATCCCCTTCAACCAAACTAAGCAAAACCATTGACCCCAACAATCTAATACCCAAATTAACAATTCTTAACAACTACGAAAACCTGTAAAGTCAACCCCAGAAAGTCAAATTTCAATAACGCGAATGATATCAAACAGAGAAATATAAATATCACAGCTCTAAACAAGACTCCAAATTTGTAAATTATGGTTCACAAACTAATCAACCACTAGACATAATATAAAAATACATAAATAGAAAAAGAAAATCTAAATATAACAAGAAGGAAGGATGAAACTAGAAGGAAATGTAATGAAGAACCTGAGGAGAAGCAAACGCCGTTGATGAAAGAACGGAAGGCTATGATTGAAGATAGAAAAGAGAAGAGAGGGTGAGATGGGGCTAGATTCTTGGGGAAGGTTATGTGAAGTGAATCTCTCTTTTATTTGAGGTTGGAGAAGAAGGCGTATGCGTGTGTTTTTTCTCTCTTTTTTTTTTTTTTTTTTTTTTTTGGGCTATATGTATACAGAGACTTCAAGAGCTGAAAGGTTGCCGGCGGGCTGGAAGTACACGTGTCGGTGACATTATTTGGGCTTTATGCTTTTTCGAAGAACCCTCGTTAATTTATCTTCCCTCGGCATTCATGGGCTTCCTTCGAAAATGGAATTTTTTAATAAAAAATAAATGTAATAGATATTTTAGTGTGCGTGGGTTTAATATCTACCCATATTCTTAATCATATTCTCAAAATTTTTTTGTTTAATATTTAGAAATATTAGTATATTTTTTTAATTTTAAATCTCTTAAGTTTATTAATTTTATTAAATACTCTCATAAAAAAAGTTTAAAAATTAACAAAAACACCCCCACCCACTTATAGTTGCCAGATTCCAGCAACCACGTCGGTGATAGCGGAATCTGTCACAACGGCCTACAAACGACCGAAACTGGCATTTAATTCACCGATCTAGCCTTTTTTGGGTAGATCCACGATGGATCTGGCCGGAAAAGGTCAGATCCGGCCGTCGTTGACCGATAACGACCGCCAATCTTTGGCCGTCGTGACGGCCAGATTTGACCTTTTGCGGCCTTTGACGGCCAGATCTGGCCATCGATCTAGCCTTTTCTAGCCAGATCTGTGGTGGATTTGGCTGGAAAAGGCAAGATAGACGCACATACGGCCAGATCCAACAAGTCTGCATCGTAACGCCAGATTCCAGCGGTGGTGGTTAGAATCGGCAGGTGGGTGGGTGGGTGGGGGTGTTTTATCATTTTAGAAAATGTATATATATTGGGGTGTTTAGTTAAATTAGCAAACTTAGGGGTTTTTTTTGTTAATTTTAAAATTTACCTCGTAATACTCACCTATTCAACACCATACTCACCCTATTTAAATCTTGTTGCAATTAAAAAAAAATGTTAGAATTAAAAAATAATAACTTTATTTACGCTATTAAAATCTTGTAACAAGTTAGTTTGTCGTTGGATGATAAAATTGTGAATCACTCATAGGAAAAATGAAATCTTGATATAATTAATTTTTTAAAAAAAAAAAGGATGTCTACAAACGGACAACAACACGTTGACGATTAAAACAAAAACAAAAAAAAAATCTTGATATTATTAACAAGAAAAAGAAGAAAATAGTTGTAAGGAAGTTTATTTTGAAAATGACAAGAGCATTATTAATGGGGGGAGTTTATTAAAAGACCATTTGAACTTAAAATTTAATTAAAAGGCTATAGAGTTTGTAAATTTTAACTAAATGGCCTTGTTTTTTATTAAGCTTAATTAAACATGATTAGGGGATTAATTGAGATTAATTAATAATTGTGTAATCTTTTAAAAATTATAATAAGTCTCCAAAGAGTCGAAAATCTTGCAAACAAACTCAAACAGTACCTTCTTCTTCCTCCCGCGACATTAACGCATTCCTCCGCCATTAACATCTTCTCCAAGACAGATCGTCGTCGTCCTTCTCCTCCTCCTCCTGACATTTTGTCCAGGTATGTGTATTTCCCCTTTCGATTTACAAAGATTTAATGATAGATTGGGTTTGGGTTATGATTTTGATTTAGTTGTTTAGGTTATTGGATTGTGTTTGATGTAATGGAAGTTGAAAGGAGTGAAATTTGTTGAAAAATTTCTTGCATTGTGGGTAGCTGGGGGTGGTAGTACCGATTGTAGGTAGAGAGACTGAAAATGTATTCTAGGTATGATGGATCGCTTAAGCGATTTGGTACGCTGGTAATACAGCAGATAGATCGCTTAAGCGATCATGTATGTGGCATAAGATCGCTTAAACGATCATGCTTATTTATACTGGATCGCTTAAGCGATCCATTATATCGCTTAAGCGATCTAGTAAACGATATACCAAATCGCTTAAGCGACTGTGCAGATGCTTTTTAAAATATTTCAACCCTTAGTACATCTGTTAAGAATATTTTTTTTCTTGCATTATAGATACTTGAGACAAGTTGTTTTGGGTGTTGAATATTTTGGTGAGTGGGTAGAGGAAGAAAGTAGCTAGAAGTGGATTGGGAAGAGCAAATAAGTTATACCAATTGTTGTGAGCCCAGATGTTAGTTTTGATGAGTTGATTGATGAAATAATTAAAAGAGGTAAATTGAGTTGCTTACGTAGTGATATAGTTGTGAAGTATGTTTTAAGTAGAGTTCCTCAACATTATAAGGTACCTCCTGCTATATTAAAGTCGGATGAAAGTGTGAAGTTATATATGATTGATGTGGCCGATAATGGTTCGAGGCCGATTTTGAGGGTTTCTTTGGTAGAAAAACCGTTGGAAGTTGCTTCAAAGGAATGGGATAATGAGGAAGTTGGCGGAGATTTGCCTGGTTTTAATTTGAACNATTAGTGAAGGACGGCCGTGTATTCTCCACCGTTCATCAAAAGTTATAACTATTACACTAGTTTGGTAAAATATTAGTTAATTAATCCCATATTATTCTAACCAAAAGTAGTGATAATGTACAATTGGGATTACGTACACGTTTCATTTGTTAATTTTGGTTGTGTACGTCTCAGCAATCAAATTTACTGGAAGGGTGATTAATTTGTGATGGTGGAGCTTGCGGCGGCTGATTCGATTATTTTTGGTTATATTCAACGTATTGAGTGTACAATTTTTATCGTTATTGCTTGGTCAAATATTCATACTTCTTTAGTTATTACCCAGTATTTCAACTTGCAAAAGATATTTCCCCAAATTGGGCTACCTGAGGCCCACTGGAGGACCCCATGGAAACAAACTGGGCTTTACCAAGGCCTAGAGGTGGTCAAAGCCCAGGCCCAGGCCTAGACGGTCCCAGGCCTGGGCCCTCAAGGCCTGGTTTCAAATTGGGACAAGGACCGGACCCAATTTTTTAAGAACCGGTCATGGGCCTATGAGATTTCTTAGAGCCTGGACCGCTTTTATTTTTATTTTTTTTGTAAAATCCCATTTTAACCCATATATTTATTGTCAATTTCATATTAAATAGGGGGTTTGGATATTTTTAAGGGGTTAAAAATAATTGGGGAAGGGGTTTGGACCCGGACCGGTCCTCCCAATGACATGTCTTAAGACCGGATTTTTGGGCCCGGGTCTAATTCCCACCTCTACCAAGGCCCACCTATAAGCCCATCAAAAGGTTACGGAACTAGGACATTGTCATGCAATTTCAAGAGCAAAAGATAATGCAGTTTAGCTGTTGCAATTGTCTTTGATGGCATTAATAGTCGAGGAACAGTCAGTCCATGGCAGTGATAAGGATCTTAGTGTTGATCATACTGATGCTACAGCAAGAGGAATTTTTGCATACAAATTATACTTTTATCTCCGTACATCATATGTTTATGGTTTTAGGGACACAAACTATTGGGAAACATCTTAATCCTGGTTTGGATAAGGTGTTTCAAATCACCTAAACAAAAGATTTCAAAGAGTTCATTCAGAGCACAACCAAGTCACCCCTTAAATACAGTACAATTAAGAATACTAACTCTACAGCCAACCACAAATTTAGCAAACCAGAGATGTTTCATAGCAGTTCTGTTTTTGAATATAGATACGTATACATGACTATGCAATTCTTCTCAATCAAGAACGAAGGGCAAAGTCTATGACATCATGAAAGCTCAACAAGAACGTTATGTTACTTCTACACATTCAAGTACCCTATCCGGTTCTAACACAGACGGAATATACCATTTCAAACAGTTGAATAGAAACAGAAGCACCAAATAGTGATTGAAAGTGCCAACATATACATTGTACAAATATTACATACATGATACCATCAAGGCAATCCAATGTGGACCACCATTTTCTTTTGCTATTTTTTTTTTTTTTTTTTCCCTTTTTTCCCTGCTTTTTTAATTATACACAAGAAGGGCACTGTAGGACTATTATCTTCAAGAATTGGATGAAGCACAACATAATCTGTACAATTTATAAGGGGTTACCAGAAAATATCATCTACAGCAGTTGAAGAGGAACGGTAATCTTCTTCCTCCTCCAACTCCAACTCTGGCTCTAATGATCCAAATTCAGCCGATTCAAAATCAGCAAGGTTCTTCAGATCAACCACTGAAAGCTCATCTAATCGCCTCACCACCAAGTCAGCAGCTCCAAGCTCGTAAACTGGATGCTTGCTAGCCACAGCCACACACTTCATACGTGCATCATGAGCAGCCTCCACTGTCTGATTAGAGTTCCCAAACACAATGCAACGCTCAGGTATAAACTTCAGAAGTTGAGCCGCATACATAAACATCTCTGGATCAGGCTTTCCCCTGTGAACATCCTCTGCTGCTATAATCGCTGTGAAGTACTCTTCAATCCCTATGGTTACAATTGCAGTCTCCAGGATTTTTCTTGGACGAGTTGAAACCAAAGCCATCGGTATCTTGTAATGCATCAATACATTCACAAACTCTTTAGATCCATTTCGTAATCTATATATCCCACCTTGCAGAGCCTGGTAAATTTCTTCCCACCGCGAAGCCATTCTCCTCAACTCTGTTGGGTCTCTTGACCAGCACAGAACTTCTGATATGGCCTGTTCATTCTTCATCCCTTCTACTCTTCTGAGAACGAAGGCTGGGGGAGGAGATTTTCCTTCTTCTTCGGCAAGGGTGAGCCAAGCCTGCTTCTCAATATCAGGATTGTCCTCAATTATAACTCCTTCCCACTCGAATATAGCACCTAACCAACCACAACCCATTCTTTCTTGTCGAAGCAAGGGATTCTGCAATGAAGGGTTATCTGCTTTATTCTCTGGTGGCCACAAACCTGGTTTTCGGTCAACGCCGGTGTCTATCCTGTAGTCCCAATCACGAGGTATTCTATCTTCCTCTCTAAATGAATAAGTCTCTTTTGTCAGCTCCATTGCTAGAGCACTAATCGACGAACTTATGGACCTATCAACTTTCAATCTAGGAAAACTAACAACCCTTCTACCAATAAATTCAGTAACGGGGAAACGGCAGTTATCTGAAAGTTTCCTTTTGCCAGAGACATCCTTGAGAGGTATTTGCTGACACATCGGCCAATGCCCTAGAAAAGATGTTGCCGCAATTGAATCCACCACCATATTTACCAAGCGACAATAACTCCACCCAAACAATTGGATTTCCACTCTAAGAAATACCCCTAATGCCACAAAACCTTTCGAGTTCCTGCCCAACTGAACACAATATCAACCCAAATTTGGCCTAAACACGTGTAAAACTACCCAACTGATGATTCACAACCACAGTTCAAATTTTCTCAAGATACACCACAATGAATACATCGAAATCAAAATATGAACAAGAAATTACTGAAAAGACTTTAGTGAGAAAGCTGAATCGAGTCCTAAAGTATTCTCCTATAACCACAAAAGGGTAAAGAACAAACCAACCTTCTCAAGATAAAGATCCCAACTTTATCGTCAAGAAACCACCACAAGCATCCCCTTCAAGCCAAACTAAGCACAAACCATTGACCCCAACAATCTAATACCCAAAATTAACAATTCTTAACAACTACGAAAACCTGTAAAAGTCAACCCCAGAAAGTCAAATTTCAATAACGCGAAATGATATCAAGACAGAGAAATATAAATATCTACAGCTCTAAACAAGACTCCAAATTTGTAAATTATGGTTCACAAACTAATCAACCCAACTAGACATAATATAAAAATACATAAATAGAAACAGAAAATCTAAATATATACAAAGAAGGAAGGATAGAAACTAGAAGGAAATGGTAATGAAGAACCTGAGGAGAAAGCAAACGCCGTTGATGAAAGAACGGAAGGCTATGATTGAAGATAGAAAAAGAAAGAGAGGGTGAGATGGGGCTAGATTCTTTGGGGAAGGTTATGTGAAGTGAATCTCTCTCTTTTATTTGAGGCTTGGAGAAGAAGGCGTATGCGTGTGTTTTTTCTCTCTCTTTTTTTTTTTTTTTTTTTTTTTTGTGGCATAATGTTACAGAGACTCAAGAGCTGAAAGGTTATGCCGGCGGGCTGGAAGACACGTGTCGGTGACATTATTTGGGCTTTATGCTTTTTCGAAGAACTCTCTCGTTAATTTTATCTCCCTCGGCTCATTCATTGGGCTTCCTTCGAATGGAATTTTAATAAAAAATAAATGTAATAGATATTTTAGTGTGCGTTGGTTAAATTCCTACCCAATTCTTAATCATATTCTCAAAATATTTTTTTGTTTAATTATTTAGAAAATATTAGTATATTTTAATTATTTTTAAATCTCTTAAGTTAAATTTTATTAAATACTCTCATAAAAAAAGTTTAAAAATTAACAAAAACACCCCACAATATAGTTGCCAGATTCCAGCACCCCGTCGGTGTAGCTGGAATCTGTCACAAGGCCTACAAACGACCGAAACTGGCATTTAATTCACCGATCTAGCCTTTTTTGGGTAGATCCACGATGGATTGGCCGGAAAAGGTCAGATCCGGCCGTCGTTGACCGATAACGACGCCCATATCTTTGGCCGTCGGACGGCCAGATTTGACCTTTTGCGGCCTTTGACGGCCAGATCTGGCCATCGATCTAGCCTTTTCTAGCCAGATCTGTGGTGGTTTGGTGGAAAAGGCAAGATAGACGCACATCGGCCAGATCCAACAAGTCTGCATGTAACGCCAGATTCCAGCGGTGGTGGTTAGAACTGGCAGTGTGGGTGGGTGGGTGGGGGTGTTTTTATATTTAGAAAATGTATATATATGGGGTGTTTAGTTAAATTAGCAAACTTAGGGGTTTTTTGTTAATTTTTAAATTTACCTCGTAACTAACCCTATTCAACTACCTAATCTCACCCTATAAACTTGTTGCAATTAAATAAATGTTAGAATAAAAAATATAACTTTATTTACGCTATTAAAATTTGTAACCACTTAGTTTGTGGTTGGATGATAAAACTGTGACACTCATAGGAAAAATGAAATCTTGATATAATTAATTTTTAAAAAAAAAAGGATGTCTACAAAGGACAACAAACCGTTGACGATTAAACAAAAAACAAAAAAAAAATCTGATATTATTAACAAGAAAAAGAAGAAAATAGTTGTAAGGAAGTTTATTTGAAAATGACAAGAGCATTATTAATGGGGGAGTTTATTAAAAGACCATTTGAACTTAAAATTTAATTAAAAGGCTATAGAGTTTGTAAATTTTAACTAAATGGCCTTGTTTTTTATTAAGCTTAATTAAACATGATTAGGGGATTAATTGAGATTAATTAATAATTGTGTAATCTTTAAAAAATATATAAGTCTCCAAAGAGTCGAAAATCTTGCAACAAACTCAAACAGTACCTTCTTCTTCCTCCCGCGACATTAACGCATTCCTCCGCCATTAACATCTTCTCCAAGACAGATCGTCGTCGTCCTTCTCCTCCCCTCCTGACATTTTGTCCAGGTAGTGTATTTCCCCTTTCGATTTACAAGATTTAAGATAGATTGGGTTTGGGTTATGATTTTGATTTAGTTGTTTAGGTTATTGGATTGTGTTTGATGTAATGGAAGTTGAAAGGAGTGAAATTGTTTGAAAAATTTCTTGCATTGTGGGTAGCTGGGGTGGTAGTACCGATTGTAGGTAGAGAGACTGAAAATGTATTCTAGGTGATGGATCGCTTAAGCGATTTGGTACGCTGGTAATACAGCAGATAGATCGCTTAAGCGATCATGTATGTGGCATAAGATCGCTTAAACGATCATGCTATTTTACTGGATCGCTTAAGCGATCCATTACGCTTAAGCGATCTAGTAAACGATATACCAAATCGCTTAAGACTGTGCAGATGCTTTTTAAAATATTTCAACCCTTAGTACATGTTAAGAATATTTTTTTTCTTGCATTATAGATACTTGAGACAGTTGTTTTGGGTGTTGAATATTTTGGTGAGTGGGTAGAGGAAGAAAGTAGTAGAGTGGATTGGGAAGAGAAAAAAGTTATACCAATTGTGTGAGCCAGATGTTAGTTTTGATGTTGATTGATGAAATAATTAAAAAGGGTAAATTGAGTTGCTTACGTAGTGATATAGTTGTGAAGTATGTTTTAAGTAGAGTTCCTCAACATTATAAGGTACCTCCTGCTATATTAAAGTCGGATGAAAGTGTGAAGTTATATATGATTGATGTGGCCGTATGGTTCGAGGCCGATTTTGAGGGTTTCTTTGGTAGAAAAACCGTTGGAAGTTGCTTCAAAGGAATGGGATAATGAGGAGTTGGCGGAGATTTGCCTGGTTTTAATTTGAACTACGAGGGCAATGATTTGTTAGTTGAAAAATCAACAGTAGACGGTGATTGGGTGTGAGGAGAACACTATAGAAGAGGTTGGTCATGGGGGGCAAAATGAAAATGTTGAGGAGAGGAACCCGTACATGTTCCCACAGATGTAGAGATTCCTTTAAATACAGATTATACGAAGTGTAGTTTGTGAGGAAGAGAACACTATGGCCGTTTATGCAGGTTCAGAGGGAGCAATTGCAGGTAGTAGTGAATCAGCTCATGTTTTACGGAGGATCGGAGTTACGCATAAGGTATTATTTGACAACAAGAGGAAGTGGTGAGAAGCTAAAACTTAGCCGTGAGAGGTAATTTTGAGTTATCACCAAAAGTCAAATTCATTGGTTGTGACGATTGCATGTTGTGACCGAAAGTGCAAGTGGCGGGTTTATTGTAGAAGCTTGGCGGAGTCGAAAAATTTATTCTAAGCACATATACCCATAAGCACACATGTGGTTTGGGACATATTTCATGTGAGCATCGACAAGCATCCGCTGATGTTATTGGACAATTTGTCAAAAGTCAGTTCGTTGAAGGAAAAAGTCCATCTCCTAAAGAATTCAGAGACTTGTGCACACAAAGTTGGGATGTGTGTGTTAGTTATTGGAAATGTTGGAAAGGGAGACAACATGCACAAGATTTTGTGAGAGGCACGCCAGAGCACGGGTACGTAGTATTAGAAGCGTACCGTTATAGGTGAGTTGACAAACCAAGGTAGCAAGATAGCTTTGAAGTGGGACAAGAATATGACGTTTAATATTTTTTTTGTTTTTGTTCTGCTATAAGGGGTTTTGTAAACATGAGAAAGGTGTTGGCTGTTGATGGTTGCTTTCTGACAGGAAAGTATGGAGGTACATTGTTGGTGCCCTGCACAAGACAGCGAGAATCACACATATCATGTTGCATGGTATGTGGTTGACTCTGAGAATGACAAGTCGTGGACTTAGTTTTTTCAGTAATTACATACGATAGTGCCTGACAGTGACGAGTTGTGCATAATATCCGATAGATACAATTCTATAAAAGAGGGGATTGCCACTATTTACCGTCAAGCACATCACGGATTTTGTATGAGGCACCTTGGGGAGAACCTAAAACAAAGTTTAAGTGTCTGGCCTCCTTCAGACATACTACATGGCAGCAAAAGCTTATCGGGTTGATGAGTTCGAGGAGCACTTCCAGCAAATCCGAATCAAGATGATAGAGTTGCTAAGTATCTTCAGCATGATGTGGTTTCGACCAATGGAGTAGAGCTTACTTTCCGGAAGAAGGTTTGATGTCATGACCACGAACATAGCCGACTCCATAAATTCGAAGTTGTTAATAGAAAGAGAGTTTCCAATAGTTGCACTTTTTGATGCAATCCAGAGGACATTGTCACGGTGGTTTCATGAGCGTCGTACGGAGTTAGATAATTTTACTACAACCCTTGCTCCGTCAGCTGAAAATTATTACGAGAATGTATGGAACTGTCAAATGCACTATTTGCCTATCCTCTTAATGCTCAAGAGTTCACTGTGCGCGGCTATGGTTCGGCCCTAGTAACCTTGTTAGTAAAACTTGCAGCTGTAAAGTGCTTGACATTCAACGTTTACCTTGTCCTCATGCACTAGCAGCACTGAAAAACCACGGAAGCCAGATTTTGGTTCAAGAATTTACAGGAACTGTGCTCCCCTCTTATATGGCAAATCACTACATGTTAGCTTATTCAGAAACGATATATCCAGTGCCTCCAGAAGAGCAGTGGCGAGTGCCGCCAGAGTTGGCTGACATTATCATCCATCCGTATTCAAGAAGATAGAAAATGGGAGAAAAAGAGTTAAGTGTATTCCATCAGCCTGTGAGGTTCCCCGGAAGATGAATAAGTACTCAATTTGCAAGCAACCTGGCCACAGAGAAGCTGTTGCCAGAAGTAATCACATGCAGATCCATAATTTAGGTTTGAAGAAAGACGAAATACAGGGAGTTGCCAAGGCCAACCGTTGATGAGTTATTGTTTTCAATTATTGATGTTTTAAATTTATTGTTACCTTTAATAAATCATCTTTATATTTAGTATTCTTGTTACATGGCCTAAATATTTGTTGGTGATTTTAGTTTGGAATTAGGTTGTCAAATTGGAGGAAAGTATGGAATTAATACGTGTTGGTAATTTTAGTTTGTCAAAATTCAGGAGAAAAGCTGGAAAAGTATATATTGCCCATGATCGCTTAAGCGACTAAATGTATTTCTTAAGCGACAAAGGGTTTTTAGGCGGTATTAATGAAATTAATTCACTTAATGGGTCTAAAATAATTAAAAATATACTAATATTTCCAAAATAATTAAACAAAGAAATATAAAAATATATTGAACGAATTGTAAACCCCATGTTTAACATAGATGTAAACATTCTACACCTTAATTGTTTATATTGTAAAGAACTATATGTTTAATATAAATATAATAACCGTCGTGTCCACTGAACGAATCGTAAACCTCATACGTTTCGCATACGTTTCGCATAGAGTAAACATTCTACACCTTATATTTTATACTAACGTAAAAGAACTATATGTTATATAAATAAAACGGTCATGGTCCACTGAACGAATCGTAAACCCCATACGTTTAGTATAGATGTAAACATTCTACA